GAATTCTGGGACTTGAAGTCCACACATCTTCAAGGTGCCAAGGTTGAGAAACACTGGGTTAAGGCATCAGGCTAGAACCTGGGAGACCGTAAGTCCTTGACCCACCTTGGCCACAAAGCCAGTCACACTCCCAGCCCTAGGAAGGAGGAGGCCAGGGCCAACCAATTCTGAAAAACCTTGCCAAGAAAACTGCAGGGACTAGTCCAGGCCGTCGCCAGGAGTCAAAAACTGAGATGGAGACACACAAACACACACGGCCCTGGGCCTAACCAACAGGCCTCCAGATCTGCTTGACTATCATTCTCATTGCCAAATGCCCTGCTTGCTGGGGAAGATGATGAGGGTTCATCCTCAGCCTGAGTTCAAAGATGTCTGGGAGCACCTGAGTTCGAATCCTGCGTCAGCTACAGATAGAGGACCAATTCTTGGGAGACAGAGGACCGATTCTTGACCTAACCTGCCCCTGTTGGGAGGCTCAGACGAGTGGAAAATCTAATCATGCTTATAGAAATCCAGAGAGGAGAGGGTGTTGGAGCTCATGTTTAGGAGGAGATGAGCAAAAATAAAATTCAACACTCTGTTGCGGCAGGGCACAGAGGTCGCTGGAGGAAAACCAACAGCTCTATTTAGAATCCGGAAGGCGTTAAAAAAAAATCTCACGCCCTTCACCCGAGAGAGTAAATGGGCCGTATCCCAACTCTTTGCCTTTGTGGGGGGGTGGGGGGGTGGGGGTGCATGTCTCCTCCACGCCCTTCTTTTCCTTTGAAGAAAGGCTGAAGTCTAGTCAGTATCAGTTACTCTTCCCAGGGTGTGTTATCTGATCAGAATTTAATGCAATTCCCATAAATGTTTCTCTCTCTTTGAGGTCTCAAAGCGGCCGTGAAAAATTGACATTCAGGGAGGCATCCTTTATCGCTGCAACCACATTGTACTTGTCAGGTTATAGAAGGGAGCATTGATTACATACGCACGTGTCTTTTTAATTAATGTAATTTTAATTAAGTCAAATTTATCTTTTGCCTGGCCCTACAGACCTTTTGGAGGAAAAACTCAGCGCCAACTCAAAGGCTGAGTGAAGTCCCCCTGGCTCCAAACAGAGTTGTAAACCCAGGCTTCAAGGAAGGCAACACGCCCGAGTCTCTCCCTCTCTCTCTCTCTCTCACACACACACGAATACACACTTAAGTTGATTCTCACCCCAACCAAGGAGAAAACCACACACACACACACCCAACACTGGCAGGGCAAGTGACTGCATATAAACAGGGAGCAAACCCCACCCTCAGTAGCCCTGATGATGTTGCCTAGTTGGGTAATGAAACGTCTCAAGTACTTCACTGGTTCTCATGTCAGAAACCAAAAGGAATAAGGCCTTCCAAAAAACTAAAATAGCATGTCCAAGGCCAACCATCAGTTTGGGATTAGTTTTTGATTGATATGGGCCTGCCATTTTGGATGGGGCCCCGCTGAAGGGAATTTTTCAAAAACAGACGTTTTAAAATATTACAGATATTTCTCTGTAGCCTCGCTAAAAATGGCATTGTCGAGTCCTATACGTGATAACACTGGATTCCCATAAGTATAAATCTGCAGTTAACTTGGTAAGGTGTTGCACTGATTTAATTAAAACGTGGACAGGAGATAGATGTAAGCCTGTCTTTCAGTGTGCAATTAAGTCTCCCAAACCTGGTTTCTCACACTTCATGAAAACGCAGGGGAAGCTCTACCCATTAGGGTTTTTCAGATTAGGAAAGGTTGTCAGGGAAGACTTATGGAAAGAAAAGAGCAAGAGCCTCTTCCAACCCCTCCAACAAGAGTGAGTCGCACAATCCTTCCACAAGAAATTGGAAAGAAATTCTCAAGCTTCCTGAGAATAAGACAGAATGGAAGGATCTTTTGCAGCTTGTAACACTCATGAAAAACTGATTGCAGATTTCAAAACAGCATTAGAAACAAAACCAAAGACAGAGCAGACAAATCAGGAATGTCTTTGTTCTGATCTGCCGTGAACTCACAAGGCAGTTTTTGGCAAGTTGCTCTGAGCCTCAGCTCTGTATTCCTGGGATGAATCTACAAGCTGCACCATACGCTGTTCAGCAGATCAACTAAACGTATCTCTACTTCTGTTTACTTCAGGGAGGTTGAGGGATGAAAGAGAAACAGGTCCATGGAAACTAGTCTGCAGGGAAGGGAAGGGAAGGGAAGGGAAGGGAAGGGAAGGGAAGGGAAGGGAAGGGAGATCCTTTGAATTAGAGAGTTGTTCAACCAATGTCATTCTTCAGTATCATCAACTCCCCATCTTTATCAGTAGCACATTTCAGCAGGAAAGCCCCCGTAGCATGCAAAGACAGTGACAGAAAGAGCAAGAGAGGAGAGGAAAAAAACAAGATGTGTGCCCAATTCTATTCTGAATGTCAAAAACATTAATCTTGTCAAGAAAAACAGGGATGGGTGGAGAAAAGCAAATCCAGAGAGCAGAATTAGCAAGCTGAGGCTACAGCTTAATTTGGAACGAATGCTGCAGGGCAGGGGGAAAAGAATGAATGTTTATTTTCCATCTTTTCCCTTCCTAAAAAGATGATTTATGTTTTTCAGATTACATCACAAGGGAGGATCGGTATTGTTTTGCAAGGGAAAACAAGAGACAGATTTCCTACATCCTCCTAAGCTGTAATGTGATGTGGTTGTTGCTAAGTGGCTTAGGTAAACCTAGCCAATGGTAGTTTGTTCAGCAAATCAGAGTTATGCAAAGTACAGATTATTCAGAAAGGAGGCACCCATGGCAAGTTGATGGTCCAACAGCACTGCCTTCGTTCAGCTAGAAAAGAACAGCTGGGATAGATCTGGATGGACTGCAATTTGTCATTTATTTCTCGGAGCTACTCAAGAAATAATGCTTGCTGGTTTTCTACTGTTTCAGACAGTAGGATCCAAGTGGCACATGTTACAGGACAGCAGATGTCAGTTAAAACCTGCAGCAGACACCATTACACAACCTTGCATGCCAGCATAAGTGCCAACAAATCAATACTTTTTCATGCCAGAATCT